GGGTGAAAGGAGAGACTGCATTTGTGCGGACCTTGGTGATGAAGGCTTGGTTGGGGGGTGGCAAGAGGTGAAATTGGGGATGAAAAGGCTGACTCAGGGTGGTGGAAACATCATTTATTTGGGGAAAGCTGGAGCAGTGGACATTGATTCTTTTCCCTTACTGTTGTTCAGTCGCTCAGTCATGTCTGACTCTTTGTGACCCTAGAGACTGCAGCACGCCAGGCTTCCCTGTCCCTCACCATCTCCTGGAGCTTGCTCAAACTCATGTCCATTGAGTCAATGATACCATCCAACCATCTCATCCTCTGTCGTCCCCTTCCCCTACCTTCAATCTTTCTCAGCATCAGGGTCTTTTCAAATGAGTCAGTTCTTCACATCAGGTGGCCAAAATACTGGAGCTTCAACTTCAGCATCAGTTCTTCCAATGAATATTCAGGGTTGATGTCCTTTAGGATTGATTGGGTTGATCTCCTTGCTTATTACAAAATATTGAGTAGAGTTCCCTGTGCTATACAGTATATCCTTGCTGTTTATCTATTTTATATAGCCTATCCTCCGCCTTGACTTTTCCATCTGTTAAATGGCCCAATATCTGGTCTTCCTAATAGTGGTTGAAGAATGCACTGGTTAAATTTTCAGGCTCTGAAACCAAATTTTCTGTAATCTGAGAAAGATGTGCCTGTACTTCATATCTATAAAACAGGAATAGTAGTCCCTCCCTGGAGTGTTATTGTGAGGAATAAGTGAATTAACTACACACAGACCTTAAGCCAGAGCAATATATATTTGCTACTTTATTTCTGTAAGTTTAAAGGGAAAAAAATGTAATGCAATAAAGCATAAAAATTATAAAAATATGATATAGGTCTTTTTTCACATAAAAAAGAGAATTAATTTATATTTACTTGTCAGGTTAGAGGACGAGACCCAGTGTCACTTCTAAGGCTTGTGTTAACCAGTGATGTGAACAGTGATGGTTTGAGGCCTCATCTGAACCCCATTTGCTGTTTTCCCCATTTTAAGATTACCTCTTTTGTTTTGCAAGTAATACATAGAGAAGTGATGCTATAGAAAATATTAGGAAATGCGTAGAAGTGAAAATAGCAAAACAAATGTCATGGTACCTGTCACCTGTATGTCATTGTTGCCATTCTTTGCTTTGTCTTTTTAGACTGTTTTATGCTCTATTGCTATAATGTTTATTTCTGTTATAAGCAGTATTTCTCAAAAGAGTATTCTGAAGTTTGTTTTCCTAAAAGTCTGTACTGAACATTTTAGAACATCAACTTATATGTTTAAAGGATATTTATTCTTTCACTTTACTTCTCCAGTTTTCCCAGCACCATTTATTGAAGAAACCATGTTTTCTTCATTGTTTATTCTTGCCTTTTTTGTTGCAGATTAACTGGCCATAGGTGTGTGGGTCCATTTCTGGGCTTGCTGTCCTGTACCATTGATCTATAAATCTGTTTTTGTGCCAATCCCATACTGTTTTGTTTATTGTAGCTCTGCAGTATAGTCTAAAGTCAGGAAGCCTGATTCCTCAAGCTCTTGTTTATCTTTCTCAAAATTGCTTTGACTATTCATGGTCTTTTGTGTCCCCATACAAATTTTAAAGTTTATTGTTCTAGTTCAGTGGGAAATGCCCTTAGCAATATAATAGGAATTGCATTGACTATGTAGATTGCCTGCATTGAATCTGTAGACAGTATAGTCATTTTGACAGTATTCTTTTTAATTGGAGGATAATTGCTTTGTGAGCTTCCCCAGGGGCTCAGCAGTAAAGAACCTACTTGCAATACAGGAGACATGGCTTCGATCCCTGGATGAGGAAGATCTCCTGAAGGAGGGTCTGGCAACCCATTTCAGTATTCTTGCCAGGAGAATCTCATGGACAGAGGAGGCTGGCAGGCTACAGTCCATGGGGTCACAAAGAGTCGGACACGACTGAGTGACTGAGGGTACACACATGCCGTTGCTTTATAGCATCCTGTTGGTTTCTGCTGCACAACAACATGATCAGTCACAATTAAACAGATATAGATACAGATATAGATATAGGTACAGATATAGATATGTGCCCTCCCTCTTGCGTCTCCCTCCTACCCCTGCCCCACCCTACCCCCTAGGTTGTCACAGACCCCCAGGATGGGCTCCCTGTGTTATATAGCAGTATTGGTTCTTCTTAATAACCTAAAGGAAAAAAGAACATATATACATATGACTGAAGCACTCTGCTGTGCGCCTGAAGCACATTATAAATCAGCTACAGTCCAGTGTAAAAAAAAATTAAAAATAAAGTATGTTTAACCAATACCAGCATAACATTGTTTTTGTACTATCATTTATTGAAATTCCCTCTTTTTGACCTGTGGTTAGAACATCTTACATTTATTTGCCATTGTAAATTGTACCGAGCATCTTTGAACCTCCCACAATGGATTCTTGTGGGAATGTTTCTTTAGGATAAATATCTAGAAATGGAATTCTGATGTCTGGTGCTTTGAGACAGAATGCCCCAGCACACTGCTGTGCAGGAGAAGTTAATCATTGAGGGCTCACATAGCCTCTTCATGGCTCCTCCATCTGGAGTCTGGAGGAGGGCAGATGGGAGCAGAGTGAGGTGGGTGGGACAAGGCCCTGGAAGCCAGACACACCTCCTCCCCAGGCCTCCAGGGGAGCTTGGATCTAACTGACACTCAGTATTCTCAGTTCCAAAATATTTTGAATAAAGTGAGCTTCCTGAGGGTATTGTTAGCATAGGTCCTGAGGCTGAGTAAATGCCAGCTCCTATATAATAGCCAGGGTCTATGTAAAATAAAACGTTTATATAAGGAAGGGCTTCCCTGGTGGCTCAGATGGTAAAGAATCTGCCTGCAATGCAGGAGACCTGGATTCAATCCCTGAGTCAGGAAGACCCCCTATATAAGTAAGGAGCATATAAATAAATGTGTACATGTGTATACGCGCATGCATGCATACATATACATATATACACACACGCATGCTAAGTTGCTTCAGTCGTGTCTGACTCTTTGCGACTCCATGGCCTGTAGCTCACCAGGCTCCTCTGTCCATGAGATTCTCCAGGCAAGAATACCGGAGTGGGTTGCCATTCCCTCCTCCAGGGGATCTTCCTGACCCAGGGATCAAACCCATGTCTCTTATGTCTCCTGCATTGCAGGTGAGTTCTTTACCACTAGCGCCACCTAGGAAGACCCATATACATACACATATGTATATATTAAAAAGCAGAGACATTATTTTGCCAACAAAGGTCCATCTAGTCAAGGTTATGGTTTTTCCAGTGGCCATGTATGGATGTGAGAGTTGGACTATAAAGAAAGCTGAGTGCCAAAGAATGTATGCTTTTGAACTGTGGTGTTGGAGAAGACTCTTGAGAGTCCCTTGGACAGCAAGGAGATCCAACCAGTCCATCCTAAAGGAGATAGTCCTGGGTGTTCATTGGAAGGACTGATGTTGAAGCTGAAACTCCAATAGTTTGGCCACCTGATGCGAAGAGCTGACTCATTTGAAAAGTCCCTGATGCTGGGAAAGATTGAAGGTGGGAGGAGAAGGGGACAACAGAGGATGAGATGGTTGGATGGCATCACTGACACGATGGACATGAGTTTGAGTAAACGGAAGTTGGTGATGGACAGGGAGGCCTGGCGTGCTGCGATTCATGGGGTCGCAGAGTCGGACACGACTGAGCAACTGAACTGAACTGGTGTATATATTTTTTTATATAAGTATAAAGTATATATAAATATATATAAGTATATACTTATATATAAAATAAGACTTTGTGTAAGGTCAGTTGCCTTCCTTGAATAATCTGGACGAGACAAAAATTCCCAAGCATGTTCATCAGAGTGGGTGATTCACTGCCAGATGTTTAGAAATCTACAAGGTAAATTAAGAATTTAAAGCAGAGTCAGAAATAAGGTGAAGTACAAGGGGGAGTGGGTGGGTATTAAAATATCACTGAAGCCCCTGCCTCAAAACTGCCACCTCCATCTATAGTGCCCGTGTCTATGGGTGTCAGTCTGGTGTGTTTTCTGGATAATTTATTACATCTTAATGTAGTCCTATCACATCCTCAGTATCATGGACTCATAGGTTCCAGATCTTCAGCTAGTCATGGATCCGGAGCTGGGGCAGTGATTTCATCTAGAGCGACCTAGACCAGCTGGGAGGCCCCCTTAATTAGCTGGAATTTGTGGCCCGCTCAATGGTTCAGAAAGAACTGGTGCAAAGAGATTCTTCCACACCAACCCATCCCAAGAAGGGAACACAGTTTAGGCTGTTTCTTTTCAGGAATGCATACTTTCAAAATGAATTCTCCATAGGGAACTGAGTGGTGGTTCCAAGGGGGAGGGGAGTGGGGGAAGGATGGAGTGGGTGGTTGGCATGAGCAGATGTGTAAGCTTTTACATAGAGATGGATAACCACTGTGTAACACAGGGAAATGTATTCAATATCCTGTGATACACCATAATGGAAAAGAAGATGAAAACGAATGTATTAGATGTATAACTGAGTCTCACTTTGCTGGTACAGCTGAAATTTACACAGCACTGTAAAGTCTACTTCAATTTTAAAAATGTGCTCTCCACTTTTCTTGGTTGTCCATTTTCTCTTAGTGTTGAAGAGTGCCAATATATTGACTTTTTTATTGAAGTATATTTGATTTCAGGTGTCCAGCAAAGTGATTCAGTTATACATGCACACATATATATACTTTTTCAGATTATTTTGGTTTTAGGTTGGTTTTAGGTTATTACAAGATGCTGAACACAGTTCCCTGTGCTGTACAGTAGGTCCTTGTTGTAATATATTGATTTTTAAAAGTTCCTGTGACCCAGAAGGCCCTAAATACTTGTAAGAATGAACGATGAGGAGGAAGGGTCCTTAGAAGCTGCTGGCTGTCAACAGCTTTGTTGATTTCAGGCCGGAAGCTGTCACCTCACTTATCCTTGCTCTTGTCACCTTTCCAGGAGGAAGATGAAGGCTCGTGCTCCCCCACCTCCTGGGAAGCCTGCCACCCCCAACTTGCACAGCGGACAGAGATCTCCTCGCAGAGCATCCCCCGGGCCCCCACAGAACCAGCTCAGCAGAAAGCACTCGCTGGACGGCGGGGTGGTGGCCATGACCGTCGTGCTGCCCAGCGGGCTGGAGAAGAGAAGTGTGGTCAACGGGAGGTGAGGGCCCGGCCGGGGCCAGCGGGGGGAGGCGCTGCAATGCAGCGTGTGAGGCCTCGGGGTGTAAATCTGGGCCTAGGAACAACCTGCAGGGTCTCACCCTCCCGGCTGGGTGCCAGCGAGCTCACCACCTCTCCCTGATCCTTGGGGCCGCACAGCTCACTCCTGTTGGAGGCGGGCTCAGAGAGGAGGGTGGTCTCAGGCACACAGGCCGACTCCCGGTAGGGGACCACCACCCGGGTCAGTGCCGGCCTCCTGGGCCCTGGCACAGCATAGCTGGGGGCAGCCCCCCGAGGGACCGTGCGCAGGCCCACTTACAGACTGTCGGAGGTGTAACTGCAACCACTTACCAACTTTCCAAATGAAAACAGTGCAAGCTTACATTAAGGGATACAATGTGATGCATGGAGTTGGCATTGAAGGGAATCAATTTCCAAACCCTTGATTTCCACCTGAATCCTTATTGAGAGCTGATCTGCCTGTCAAGGTGCCTATAGCCAACATCACAGACTGACTTTTCTTCCCACCCCTTCCCAGTTGTAAAAGATACAGTTGAAGCATTTGTAATATTCCAGAGTATTGATACTAATAGAATTTTAATAGTTTTTAATGCTAATAGAATTTCTAATATGATGTTTGATGTTTATCAAAATAGATCATAATCACATTGTTTAATCATTTTTGTACTACTGTTATTAGCTCAATCTGTAATTTAAAAATTTAACAAAATCACAGGAAACAATTCCATCTAAATGTTTATACACTTTATTATGTAGAATATGATAGAGTGATCAATTATAAAGACATTTAAGCACAAAAATATTTTTGTATGATTCTGAAGCAGGAGTGAATGGGAGTTGTATTTCTGGAAAACCAAGGAAGGTAAGAAATGATGTAAAATATTTAAATCTTCAAAAACCATTTGCTCAAGGATTTTAAAAATGGATAATGGATAACCACATCATTCTGGGCGTTTTTATTCTCATCGATACATTGAAAAGAGTGATAGAAGAGTTTTATGTAAAAATATTCTTATTCTGATTCTACTTGAAATGGCATCCTTGCAACTACTTTAGTTTTATAAAGAAAATTTCAGGTAATGATTTACTGGAGCAAAGGGGTTCACAGGTTTTTAAAATTATTTTATGCACCATGTACACAAAAATTTGAGGAACGTTGCTCCTGGCTTTAATATTTTCCTAGGATACAACATGTTTACCTCTACGAGGTGATACAAAACAGCTTTTCATCTACTGGGGGACACTAGGGCCTGCTCCTTGTGGCTGCCTCCCAGCAGAAGACCCCAGAGCCAGAAGTTAAGACCCACGTTGGATTCCTGTGGCCCAGCGTCCATAGAGGGGATGAGTTCCTGTGGGCAGGTTCATGTTAGAAATGTTCAGGTTTCTGGAGTGTCTGTGTTTCTTCTTTTACAGAGTGATCTCTGTCCTAAGTATACTTTTATCACTTAAACTTGAGAAACAGACCATATTATCATAGATTTAGATGCATGTAAGCCAGACTTCAACAGTACATGAACCATGAACTTCCATATGTTCAAGCTGGTTTTAGAAAAGGCAGAGGAACCAGAGATCAAATTGTCAACATCTGTTAGATTATCGAAAAAGCAACAGAGTTGCAGAAAAACCTTCATTCCTTCTTTATTGACTATGTCAAAGCCTTTAACTGTGTGGATCACCACAAACTGTGGAAAATTCTTAAAGAGATGACCTGACCTCCCTCTTGAGAAATCTGTATGCAGGTCAAGAAGCAACAGTTAGAACTGGGCATGAAACAACAGACTGGTTCTAAATAGGAACAGGAGTACATCAAGGCTGTATATTGTCACCCTGCTTATTTAACTTCTATGCAGAGTACATCATGAGAAATGCTGGGCTGGAGGAAGCACAAGCTGGAATCAAGATTACTGGGAGAAATATCAATAACCTCAGGTATGCAGATGACACCACCCTTATGGCAGAAAGCGAAAAAGAGCTAAAAAGCCTCTTAATGAAAGCGAAAGAAGAGAGTGGAAAAGCTGGCGTAAAGCTCAACATTCAGAAAACTAAGATCATGGCATCTGGTCCCATCACTTCATGGCAAATAGATGGCGAAGCAGTGTCAGGCTTTCTTTTCTTGGGCTCCAAAATCACTGCAGATGGTGACTGCAGCCATGAAATTAAAAGACGCTTTCTCCTTGGAAGGAAAGTTATGACCAACCTAGATAGGATATTTAAAAGGACAGACATTACTTGGCCAACAAAGGTCTGTCTAGTCAAGGCTATGGTTTTTCCAGTAGTCATGTATGGATGTGAGAGTTGGACTATAAAGAAAGCTGAGTGCCGAAGAATTGATGCTTTTGAACTGTGGTGTTGGAGAAGACTCTTGAGAGTCCCTTGGACAGCAAGGAGATCCAACCAGTCAGTCCTAAAGGAGATCAGTATGGGTGTTCATTGGAAGGACTGATGTTGAAGCTGAAACTCCAATATTTTGGCCACCTGATGTGAAGAACTGACTCATTTGAAAAGACCCTGATGCTGGGAAAGATTGAAGGTGGGAGGAGAAGGGGATGACAGAAGATGAGATGGTTGGATGGCATCACCGACTCAATGGTCATGAGTTTGAGTAGGCTCCGGGATTTGGTGATGGACAGGGAGGCCTGGCGTGCTGTGATTCATGGGGTCACAAAGAGTCAGACACAATTGAGTGACTAAACTGAACTGAATTTTATCAGTGAATGTATTAGGGTTTACTCACCATTCTTATATTAATATTTGGGCTCAATTTCTAGTTGTATTTTAGCAAGTCACTTTATTGAAATATGATTAACCTATAAAAGTTGCCACATTGAATGTGTACGACTTAATGAGTTTGTGAATAAGTGTACACATGTGAAACAATGACTTCTATCAGTCTAGTTACATATTTTTTTTAATAAAATGGACTCACAGATCCTGTCTTAAAGTACACACAGGTCTGGTTTTACAAATGCACAAGGAGAGATAGACTATCTGCTTGAAAACTAAAAACACTATTTTGAAAAGTGTTTTCAAACTGAACATATTCTTCCAATTTTATCTTTAGTTTTCATTTTCTTCCAAAGTAGAAGTTATCATGGTACCATTTTGCAATGCAGCTATGAGAGCGGGTTCAGCCGGAGAGATCAAGTATTAAAATAGATTTCTCTTTTCTGAGTAGTAAATACTTATCCCTTCCCTAGGTTTCCTACAGCAGCCTGTGGGCTCCCTTAGTAGCTTGTAACTTGCTGACGCTGCAGCTTCTTGCTGCAGGAATTGGTTTTATATGTCCTACTCTTTAATAATATAAGAGTGGGCCAAAGTCACATCCTGACCCGCACTGAAACCAGATCTCCTAGTTGTTTATCAGTTGTGATTTCTCTCTTCCATTTTATCAGAGAACATGCCCACCTTTTTGCAGGATAAGCAAGTCATTTATAATTTATAGTTAGTACCTTAACCACACCATTTCCAAACGTGGAAGATTCTCACAAGGAAAGCACATTAGTGCATGAAGTCTGGTATATTCTGTATATAGCAGTGATTTTTCTTTCTCTTTTTTTAAAGTTTCCTTTGGACTTAAAAACACAATTCCCAGCCTGTTCTTAGATGAGACGTGGGAACAGGTGTTCTGGAACTTTCTTAAGGAAGACGCTCTGGTGGGTGCCCTTTTAGGAAGGGTGCTGCCAGCACTGCTCAGGGTCCCTGTGAGGAGAATGCTGGTCCCCCCACTCTAATTGGAAGACAAATAGAGAGAAGGTCTTTGAAAGGACAAAAGGGAGCTTCATAAATGGTGTGAAGCATTCACGTGTCGGGGCTGTGTCATCCTGACGCAGTCAGCTAACTCACGTCCAGTTGGCATGCATGCCCCCAGGGCCTGGGACAGAAGAAGGCAGCATTCTCTTCTCAGAGTCCAGGAAACCTCTCCCGGTGTTCAGTGCTGCGTTTCTGCTGCTGTGGGCTGTCAGACCCCTTTTGTAATAGCCAAGTTTACAACTCTGCATGGATTTGCAGGTCCCAGGCCTTGTCAACAGCACACGGACCCCGTGGCAGAGCTATTATCCTCAGTGCCTCTTCTGGAGAGAGCTTGCTTGCTCCCAGGTGACGGGGAGGAGCAGTAAGCCCAGCCTGGTCTTCCTCCTTCACTGGCCCGGCAAAGTGCAGGCCATGCCCCTGCAGAGGAGGGTAGGGAGCTGGCCTCTCTTCAGCACCAGGACATGAAAAGATGAAGCTGGGAAGGGCAGTTTGGATGCAGGGGACTCTGCCAGAAGAACATTTTCCATGTAGCAGGCTAACAGTCAGGTTTGGTTTACTTTGATTTACATTTTTACCTAAAGAATACCCTTTTTTAAAAAGACTTTATTTTTCAGAGCAGTTTTAAGTTCACAGCAAAATTGAGAGGAAGGCAGTGATATTTCTCACACACCCCGTGCCCCTGTCCCGACTTCCTCCACCATCACAACTCTCACCAGAGTGGTGCATCTCTTCTAACTAATGAACCAGCACACACACATAATTTCCCCCGAAGTCCATCGTTTACACCAGGGTTCACGCTCCTTGCTGTATATTCTGTGGGTCTGGACAAATGTATCATGACATGTGTCCACCATTATAGTATGACACAGAGTATTTTCATTGCCTTAAAAATCCTCCCGGAGAAAATTCCTTGGACATAAATCCTTATGTGACGTTAACAGGAGGTGAATCTTTTTGAACATATAATATATTTGATTATCCTGGTCCTAATTCACCATTTCTAGTGACTGCCTCTCAAATGTTTCTGCCTTATTAAGTCATTGCTTGTTTGAGCTAAATCTAAGAGAAGTTTAAAAAAAAAAAACACAATCATTCTGGTGATGCAGAATGTCATCAAGAGTTTCCAGTTACTACTAAGTTTCTTTATGAGAATCTTTCCTACAAGGAAATAGCCTGGTTAAGGGGCTGATCATAAACTCTTAACTCCTTGCTTATTCTGTGAAAAGGTGA